AGAATATACTGACATAATGTGACGAACTGTTGCAGTGTCGCTCCCGGCATAGAAGAATATACTGGCATTATGTGACGAACTATTGTAGTGTCTCTCGGCATAGAAGAATATACTGACATTATGTGACGAAATGTTGCAGTGTCGCTCCCGGCATAGACAGAATATACTGGCATTATGTGACAAACTGTTGCAGTGTCGCTCCCGGCATAGAAGAATTTACTGGCGTTATGTGACGAACTGTTGTAGTGTCTCTCCCAGCATAGAAGAATATACTGACATTATGTGAAGAACTGTTGCAGTGTCGCTCCCGGTATAGACAGAATATACTGGTATTATGTGACAAACTGTTGCAATGTCTCTTCCGACATAGACAGAATGTACTGGTATTATGTGACGAACTGTTGTAGTGTCTCTCCCGGCGTAGAAGAATATACTGACATTATGTGACGAAATGTTGCAGTGTCGCTCCCGGCATAGACAGAATATACTGGCATTATGTGACAAAGTGTTGCAGTGTCGCTCCCGGCATAGAAGAATATATTGGCGTTATGTGACGAACTGTTGCAGTGTCGCTCTCGGTATAGACAGAATATACTGGTATTATGTGACAAACTGTTGCAATGTCTCTCCCGACATCTACAGAATGTACTGGCATCATGTGACGAACTGTTGCAGTGTCTCTCCCGACATTGACTGAATGTACTGGCATTATGTGACGAACTGTTACAGTGTCTCTTCCGACATAGACAGAATGTACTGGTATTATGTGACGAACTGTTGTAGTGTCTCTCCCGGCGTAGAAGAATATACTGACATAATGTGACGAACTGTTGCAGTGTCGCTCCCGGCATAGAAGAATATACTGACATTATGTGACGAAATGTTGCAGTGTCGCTCCCGGCATAGACAGAATATACTGGCATTATGTGACAAACTGTTGCAGTGTCGCTCCCGGCATAGAAGAATATATTGGCGTTATGTGACGAACTGTTGTAGTGTCTCTCCCGACATTGACAGAATGTACTGGCATTATGTGACGAACTGTTACAGTGTCTCTCCTGGCATACAAGAATTTACTGGCGTTATGTGACGAACTGTTGTAGTGTCACTCCCAGGCATAGAAGAATATACTGACATTATGTGAAGAACTGTTGCAGTGTCGCTCTCGGTATAGATAGAATATACTGGTATTATGTGACGAACTGTTGCAGTGTCTCTCCCGGCATAGACAGAATGTACTGGCATTATGTGACGAACTGTTGCAGTGTCTCTCCCGACATCAACAGAATGTACTGGCATTATGTGACGAACTGTTGCAGTGTCTCTCCCGACATCAACAGAATGTACTGGTATTATGTGACGAACTGTTGTAGTGTCTCACCCGGCGTAGAAGAATATACTGACATAATGTGACGAACTGTTGCAGTGTCGCTCCCTCATTGGAAGAATATACTGGTATTATGTGACGAACTATTGTAGTGTCTCCCGGCAAAGAAGAATATACTGACATTATGTGACGAAATGTTGCAGTGTCGCTCTCGGCATAGACAGAATATACTGGCATTATGTTACAAACTGTTGCAGTGTCGCTCCCGGCATAGAAGAATATATTAGCGTTATGTGACGAACTGTTGTAGTGTCTCTCCCGACATTGACTGAATGTACTGGCATTATGTGACGAACTGTTACAGTGTCTCTTCCGACATAGACAGAATGTACTGGTATTATGTGACGAACTGTTGTAGTGTCTCTCCCGGCGTAGAAGAATATACTGACATAATGTGACGAACTGTTGCAGTGTCGCTCCCGGCATAGAAGAATATACTGACATTATGTGACGAAATGTTGCAGTGTCGCTCCCGGCATAGACAGAATATACTGGCATTATGTGACAAACTGTTGCAGTGTCGCTCCCGGCATAGAAGAATATATTGGCGTTATGTGACGAACTGTTGTAGTGTCTCTCCCGACATTGACAGAATGTACTGGCATTATGTGACGAACTGTTACAGTGTCTCTCCTGGCATACAAGAATTTACTGGCGTTATGTGACGAACTGTTGTAGTGTCACTCCCAGGCATAGAAGAATATACTGACATTATGTGAAGAACTGTTGCAGTGTCGCTCTCGGTATAGATAGAATATACTGGTATTATGTGACGAACTGTTGCAGTGTCTCTCCCGGCATAGACAGAATGTACTGGCATTATGTGACGAACTGTTGCAGTGTCTCTCCCGACATCAACAGAATGTACTGGCATTATGTGACGAACTGTTGCAGTGTCTCTCCCGACATCAACAGAATGTACTGGTATTATGTGACGAACTGTTGTAGTGTCTCACCCGGCGTAGAAGAATATACTGACATAATGTGACGAACTGTTGCAGTGTCGCTCCCTCATTGGAAGAATATACTGGTATTATGTGACGAACTATTGTAGTGTCTCCCGGCAAAGAAGAATATACTGACATTATGTGACGAAATGTTGCAGTGTCGCTCTCGGCATAGACAGAATATACTGGCATTATGTTACAAACTGTTGCAGTGTCGCTCCCGGCATAGAAGAATATATTAGCGTTATGTGACGAACTGTTGTAGTGTCTCTCCCGACATTGACAGACTTTACTGGCATTATGTAACGAACTGTTGCAGTGTCGCTCCCGGCATAGACAGAATGTACTGGCATCATGTGACGAACTGTTACAGTGTCTCTCCCGGCATTGAAGAATTTACTGGCGTTATGTGACGAACTGTTGTAGTGTCTTTCCCGGCATAGAAGAATATACTGACATTATGTGAAGAACTGTTGCAGTGTCGCTCCCGGTATAGACAGAATATACTGGCATTATGTGACGAACTGTTGTAGTGTCTCTCCCGGCATTGACAGAATTTACTGGCATTATGTGACGAACTGGTAAAGTGTCGCTCCCGGCATAGACAGAATGTACTGGCATTATGTGACGAACTGTTGCAGTGTCTCTCCCGACATATACAGAACATACTGCCATTATGTGACGAACTGTTGCAATGTCTCTCTCGTCATAGACAGAATGAACTGACATTATGTGACGAGCTGTTGCAGTGTCGCTCCCTGCATAGACAGAATATACTGGCATTATGTGACGAACTGTTGTAGTATCTCTCCCAGCATTGACAAAATTTACTGGCATTATGTGACGAAGTGTTGCAGTGTCGCTTGCGGCATAGAAGAATTTACTGGCATTATGTGACGAACTGTTGCAGTCTCTACCGGCATAGTCAGAATGTACTGTTATTATGTGACGAACTGTTATAGTCACTCCCGGCATAGACAGAATGCATTGGCATTATGTGACGAACTGTTGCTGTGTCTCTCCCGACATAGACAGAATATACTGGCATTATGTGACGAACTGTTGCTGTGTCTCTCCCGGCATAGAAGAATATACTTGCATTATGTGACGAACTGTTGTAGTGTCTCTCTCGTCATAGAGAGAATGTATTGACATTATCTGACGAACTGTTGCAGTGTCTCTCCCGACATAGACAGAATGTACTGGCATTATGTGACGAACTGTTACAGTCACTCCCGGCATAGACAGAATGTACTGGCATTATGTGACGAACTGTTGCAGTCTCTCCCGGCATAGACAGAATGTAGTGGCATTATGTGACGAACTGTTGCTGTGTCTCTCCCGACATAGACAGAATGTACTGACATTATGTGACGAACTGTTACATTATGTATTTCTGCTCCTATGGAAGTAATCAGTATAAAATCTGATACTGAGTCAGATAACTGACGTGTGTCACCCCCAATAACAGAATCAAATCACACTCCGAATGCCTGCCAGCTAGCGGTAGTGTCTTATCATGCCTGCACTGAGAAGGTTGCACTTTTCCCCCTTTCTGTGAATCAGTGTCCATCCTTTTTTTTTTCTACACCTTCCCCCCAGCCTCCCACTGTCCAGGTCTGAATCTCATAATGTTTTGTCCCCTCAGCCAGCGGTCCATTTCTAAATCTAAAAATATCATTTATTCCCTCAACAAACTGTATGTGAATTCTGCGTAACGTACTTATGTCCCCTTCCCCAGCCTGCCATGTTTGAATCTAACAAACGTCCTTTCTCACCGAGTTTACATTACACTAGTGGGAGCCGCAGTAACTAGACCATTGTCTGTTGGCTCGAAGGTCTGTGGTTCAAACCTGCGTCCAATATAAGTTTTTATAAAGGAATTTGGCTCTCAGGTAAACTCAGTCTAAAAGAGTACCATAAAAAAAAATGAGAAGTAAAGGCGGTCGACACTATTTGCAAACAGCACCACTGGGGGCCGATTTTCTATATGGATTTAGTAGCACCATGTGCCCAGTGCACAACTGACGTGAAAATGAACTGTTATTTACTTACATGACAGCAGTAAGGACGCTTATGGCTATTGCAGTAGGACATACACACAGAATTGGTGGAGCAGTATGTCTGGAAGTTGTACCCTTTCGTCTTCAGACTGCAGCAGTTAGCAACCGAAGACAACCTCAAACACAGTAGTCAGACAGATTGTCCCTGGTATGTTACATACTGTAGATTGTACCTGTGATGTCTCTGAAATAACCTCAAACACAGCAGTCAGATAGATTGTCCCTGGTATGTTACATACTGTAGATCGTACAGTCAGACAGATTGTCCTAGGTATGTTACATACTGTAAATTGTACAGTCAGACAGATTTTACCTAGTATGTTACATACTGTAGATTGTACCTGTTATGTCTCTGATCTGTTACACATTATAGATTATACCTATGTATAGTAACCTACAGGCTGTACCAGGGGAGAAATCCTCATCGACACGTTTTTTTTTTTTTTTTGGGTAGTGACCGAATAGCCACTGTCGCCTTACTGATGTAGAGGTCACACGGCTTTCCTCAAGGCCTGTGAGCCTTCTTGCACATGTACTGGCATTTATTTGTTAAGTTTCTAGTCAGTGAATAAGTCTTTTATATGTGATCTGCCATTGTTTTAGGTCTGACCCCGGATGAGCACGCTGTCTCGCCTATTATGTCCACCAACCCACAACCAAAACAGAAAGCCAGATCTGCTGGACATGCCTACAGTTATGGTTCAGACGATGAGTCTGACCCTCGGATAACGGTCCAAGTGCGACCCGCCTATCAGCCCCAACAACAGCAGCGGCAGATCTTACAGGATCACGTCTTGTACGACCCACCTTGGGATCATATCAACTTTGACCAGATGAGATCTGGGCACAGGACAGGGCACGCCTCTGAGAGCGACGAGGACAATCGCCATGCCATACAGAGATACAGCCAAGCAGGTAAGCTACTATGTTTATTTCCAGCCAGATATGTTAGCTAGGTTTGGCGCTATTACATAACTAAAATAATGCAATGTAGGTAACGGCTGAGCAGCTATTGTACACAACACAAATTTAATCATAGGCTTTGATAAAAATACAGTGGTTTGATCTCATCTGCATCATGAAGTCAAACAGTTGAGTTAGTCATGTCGATTTAAACGTGAGGTAATGAGATAGCCAAGTGTATCACATATAGTCTAACAGATTAACATTTGATTTGGTCTGATTAAGTGAACCAGTTTAATGTATATTCATACCTGCTTCGCGTCAACACCCCCCCCCCCCCCCCCCCCCCCCCTTTCGTATTCGTCCTCGTCCTCCTCCACCCTTTCTTCGTGATCTGAAGTTTACCGAAGAAAGCTCAATGGGGTCCCAATGACCGTTACAGAAGAGGAAGGGGAAACGATGTCTCAGTCTTTAAAAACACGAGTACTCTTCAGCTTTTTCACCCGTCTCGTCGGTCACGAGATTTGGAAGGGAATTGATAGGAGGTTCCCGGGAATAAGGTTAGTTGCGTATCCTTTACAGGACGTTGCAGAACCAACCCCAGCAGCCCCTGGCTGTTGTGTGGTTTCTCCTGGCAAATGTTCGTCCAGTAGTTTGCCATTGCTGACTGGACGGTCAGCCCCCTGATACCACTGTCGAAACCAACGCCAGGCGCATGGCCCACAGCTGGGATCGAACCAAGCACCCCGGCATTACGAAGCGTTCGCATCGACTTAGCCACAGAGCCGACTAAATACGTGAAGAGATTATCTATATCTGCAATGTCGCCTCTAGTATGAACTTCACTGTATTATAATTCACTGTGTGCTTCTCTGTTTGTGTGAGCGCTTCTCTGTTTGTGTGAGTGCTTCTCTATTTGTGTGAGCGCTTCTCTATTTGTGTGAGCGCTTCTCTGTTTGTGTGAGCGCTTCTCTGTTTGTGTGAGCGCTTCTCTGTTTGTGTGAGCGCCTTATGTTTCCTGTAGGTTATATCATAAGTTGTGAGCTTCCCTGTTAGTTTTAAGATTTCGTGATAAAATAACCAAAAGATCGTTAATTAATGCCAGGTTGTGTGTGTGTGTGTGTGTTTGTGTGTGTGTGTTTGTGTGTGTGTGTGTATATATATATATATATATATATATATATATATATATATATATATATATATATACACACACACACACAAACACACACAGTCTACCACCCCCTGAAATATTAGACTACCGTGACCTGTGGATTTCTCCTGTTTGGGGTAGGATATTAATAAAGCACCCAATAAATAGTTACATAATGTCTTTATCTGAAGTGTTGTGATGTTAAGAAAGTCCCTTTGTGCTGTTCTTTGGGTATTCACCGAAACAGTGATAAGTTTTTCTTCAAAGTGATACAATCCCATACCCCCCCCCCCCCCCACAGTATTTTAAAAGCCCCGGTATTTTCTTCTCATACAGTTTCCTAGCTCTAGAGGCCTGACAGGCTAATTGAATGTTACCCTCAGTGGAAATAAATAGAGACTTATGATCAGAACAGACTTCAGAAGGAAATCACTGGTTGTAGATACTGTAGAACTCGGGGCCTGACAACGACGGAAAGGTCGTAGCTACTGAGAGCTAAACAGATAGTCTGTGCCTATCAGCTATCATTCAGCTTTGAAATTGAACGGTTATAATGTAATTAATAAATGTACGTTATCGCCTATCTTGTAACCTAGAAATGAAACTATACAACTGGCTAAGCAACTAAAAGAAAGGTAACTAATTCTGCTTTTGCTTGTTAGAAAGTAAGTTATATTCTGCAAAACAATATCTCACTCCGAGAGCCGTTTTTCCTCCCACACACTTTTCTCTTCTCTTCTTCTTTTCCCAGCTATGTAACCACTTTGTCGAATTACTCCCTCCAAGTCTGTCAGTTTTGTTATGTAACCGTCTTCTTCTGGGTATTTCCCCTTACTCCTACTTCTGGCCTTTCGAGTGATTTCCCAGTCTGTCACTTCTAACGTGAAACCACTTTTGAGAATTATGTTCCCTAGTGTGTCGCTTCTAATGTGTAAGCAATTCCCAGGGCGAGTTTGTGAGATCATCTAATTACCTGGCTGAATGAACACACCTCGTGTCTACATCACTTCCCAGCTCCAGCTTCTGGAGAAGGCGGTTGTCTACATCGAGCCACTGGGCTCATTCGACAAGTCAGAATCTTATGTTTTTAACTATCTCTAATGTATTCTAAGAAACTTCGACCTTTCCCTCCCTGCCACCTCTCTCTCTCTCTCTCTCTCTCTCTCTCTCTCTCTCTCTCTCTCTCTCTCTCTCTCTCTCTCTCTACCTCCTTTTCTTTCTCTCTATCTCTACCTCCTCTCCCTTTCTTTCTCCCTGTCTCTGCCTCCCCCTTCTTAAGTTAAAGTCTCTGTAAGTTCTGATACATGGAGAAATTATATTTTCTCGGATGTCTGATGTTTTTGTTGGGGGATATTTGGCCTTGTTTTGCTAAAACTACACAAGGACATTTTAAGATAGTATATATTTATTTAAAAGCAGCGCTATGTCAATGACGAGAAGCTTGTCTGTCGGCTTAAATGTCGCGGGTTTGAATCCTATGTGATAATTGACACTGACTGCCAGGTCAACACAGTGTAAAATAGATCCAGGAAAAATCACGGGAGAGGGAGGGGGGGGGGCGACTTGAAGATGACCACAACAGCCGTTGATTGCCTGTGTCATATTGAGTTCCTTTACTTTGTTCATCATAAATGCCTACATAGAAGCTCTATAGAAGACCGTGTGGGTCGTTTCAGAAATATTCTCTGTACCAGTTCCTGAAGTTGAGGTCGAATTGATGAAGTTGCGCTGGAGTACATTAACAGTGGCGATCGACAATCCTAGCAATGCTGGAGCCATTTCGTCTGCGGAGTGCGTGAGTTACGCACTGTTTGAGGGCAAACTGAGGGGGCCTAAATATATGTGCTCCAACGGTGATCGATATTCTACCCCTGGTCGTTGCTCGTGTCAGACCCGCTCAGCCATGCTAGCTTCCCGTCTATGACCTTGTTATTTTACTAGTTCCACAAGGACGATTTCATTTGCAAACGATAATGCACACGAGCAAATTATATCGGTCTTCTTCGGGCACTAAGGACATTGAGACATGCCGAGAAAATGATTAACACGAAAACAAGACGATTAGAAGGGGTCAGCAATGCTTTCGAAGATGTTGTTCAGCCAGCGTTGATAACTTTAACATACACCTTCACGCACGCACACATATGTGAGAGCGTTCACGGTGTAGTGAAGTCGTCGTTGATGAAACAAAGCAGTGTGTGGTCAGTGGTCATTGCCTTCACAATTATATAATGAATATTGGAGAAAGCATGTATCTGCTGATGTGCTCAAACGTGGGCAGTGATTGGTAAACATGAATGGATCTATGAGTCATACAATTGTGCTGCTGGGAAAGAGTAGGGCAAAAACATTTGTGATATACGTAATTTGTACAAAATCATTTACGGAACCTTAAACAAACAAAACAATGCAGTGTGTTGTATAATTGTCTTTTGCCAACAGTTCATCTAACATGGATAATATATGGGAATTCATAATCTGGTACTTAGTGGCTCATCAGAGGTTGTCATCCTGGAATAAACGTTAATCTGAAGATTAAACATATTTAGAGTTAACGCAGTTTGGGTTTTGTCGTGGTGATCAGCTTCCGGTGGCTCCCCCTACGAACCCCCAGCCATTTGCCTCCAGGAACTTGAATAGAGAGTAATGATATATTACTGGATAAACAGCCCATTTCGGTGATGGCATCTCATGAGCTGGTTGTGCGTTACTTGTATGTCATCCCGCCTTGCAGTCTCAGGTCTGGAGGTACTTTAATACGTCTTTGTATGGGCTTAATATGGTTTATAAAATAAACCTGCGTTGGTTATTCCATTCTCAGAAGCAGATTCATACTCAATGTTCAATGCATCTAATAGTATTTTATTTCCTTTTTCATTATAGTTTGAAAAGTAATTTGTAAATGTGGCTCATTATTGTCCTGTGAGTTTCGCACGCCTGTCATTTGTAAGGTATCGTAACACCAGCCGGTCTGCAGATGTTTAAAGGGATCCACCTGGTCTCTGATGTCTTATTTATGTCCATTGTTACTTTTTCTATACCAAGTTCCCCCAACGCACCGTATACTTCTCCGTCTTTCCATATTTATAGCTTATCACCGCTTTATCATCAACAATGACTTCCATCTATGTGACCAACCATATAAAATACTGTTTCCCTTCGCACCGTTTGTCTTGAAACAATCTCTTTAGATGACAGCACGTACACGGTCCTGCTGTCTCTTTTAGTCTTGCGCAAGGTTTTGTTATCTTTGTTCAGTGTCAGTGCTCACTAGTCACTCATTGTTTAGCTTCCTTTCATTTTATAGTTGTTGATTATTTGTCTGTTTTTTTTTTTTTTTAAATTATATTTCTTGTCATTCCTCTTTGCGCTTTCCATTTTTCTGATTATGTGCAGTCTTGTTGTTGTGTCACATATAATCTATATTTTTCTGATTATATGCGGTCCTGTTGTTGTGTCACATATAATCTATAGTTTTATGATTATGTGCAGTCCTGTTGTTGTGTCACATATAATCTATATTTTTCTGATTATATGCGGTCCTGTTGTTGTGTCACATATAATCTATAGTTTTATGATTATGTGGGGTCCTGTTGTTGTGTCACATATAATCTATATTTTTCTGATTATATGCAGTCCTGTTGTTGTGTCACATAAAATCTATTTTAAAACACGATTACGGTTTACACGATCAGGTTGAGGTTAGACTATTGCAGACACTACCGCCATCTTACTATAGACCCTGACTGTATGACGTCACTACCTTTGGAGTTCGCTTGACATGATTCTATGAGACTCGTTTGATTTGATAGCAGAAGTCAAGCCAATCAGCCGGTGTCGCCTTTAATATGACAGTGTT